CCATTTCAATCATTCACCCTAGTTGGCAGCCACATGCTTTCCCATTTCAATATCATTCTTCCAAAAACAATCAGCCACATTCTCTCTTAAATCTATCATTTGCCGTGCATTCCCCTTGCATTTCCAGCTTTCCCACTTCATCATTGCAGCCACCAATCACCCTAGCTGTCACTCACATGCTTTCCCATTCTATAATTCAGCCACATGCACCCATAATCATTCACTCCCCTAGCCGTGACACTCTTCATCATTCAGCAACTTTTCCTAGCTGCTTTTCCATTCATTCCCTTCATTATTTCAGCCACATGCACTCTTAATCATTCAGCCACATATTCTCCCATTCTCCCTATAAAACCCGTGCATAACCCTCCATTCCATTCACTTCCCTGGTGTGCCGTGCATTCCCCTACCATTCCACACATCCACATACCTTTCCACCACCTTCCAACCATCAAACACTCATCCACACCGAACCTACACCCCTTGCCGTGCCTCTACACCCCCCAAAACCCATTCTACATCATCAAAACAGCCCAGAAACCATCACAACCCAATCTGCCGCAAGCAATGGAAAGGAGACAGTTTCACACAATTGTTTGGCTCTTCATTCTGAGTTGTTGAACAATTTTAGGTGTATTCTATCTTATATTACAATGTCGAATTCATGTAATCTTTGTTTTGCCTTGAGAATGATTGGCTAAATTCGTTTTGGCTAAGGGTGTATTCGAAACCATGATTATATATGTGAAATAAGTTGATTACTTCCAGTTATCGTTGCATAAGTCGTGAATACAATTTGCTTAACCGTTTGATTTAGAACTTATTCTTGTATGTTGATTGAGAGTGCACGCTTAATTTGCATGCTTGAATTTGGTGCTAGGATATAAGTTTGTTTCACCTAATCGTTATGAATTTATATTCACAAGTAGTGAAGGTCGCTAGTCACGATCATGTTAAGTAGATTCCTGGCAAGAGTATCATGCTTTTCATAGTTACAAATGCCTTGTCGATGCTTATGATTTCCAAAGAACATAATGATTCTAACTTGTATCTTTATCATGATGTTCATATAGAGAACTTGTTAGGAATAATTTGTTTGCGATGCATATTCATCCAATTCAATGATTCTAGGGAAATCTGAAGGTTAATTTAAGCGGACCTAATTAACTTGGAGTGTCGAGGTTCATAACTTATTGAATTGATAACTGGAAATTGATTTACGTTGCATATATTTCATGTGTGGAGAAGAACCCCTTAGTTATTCCATCATCCTTTGGTCTATCACAATTTGTCTTACAATCTGTTTTCTTTACAATCTGTCCATTTAATTTAAATTCGTCCAAACACAATCCCCCCATATTTTGTTAAGTCTTAGTTATTACAATCTATGTTATTTTGTGTTTTTAAGTATTTGGAGTCTTGTGGACTTGTTTTGAGTTTTTGTTAAGTGAGTTAAGTGTTTTAAAGGTTAGTTTTATTTATTTGAGTCAGTTTAAAGTGTTTAGCACCCCTAGTTAATCCCCGGTTAGAACGATCCCTACTTACATCATTACTACAATTGTCACAAATAGGGTTTAATTTGTGTGTCACATTCGTAACGCATCAGTGGGAAATGGAGATAATATCTACTTTTGGACCCATAATTGGGTTTTTCCTTTCCTGCTTTCCAGCCTTGTTGCCACCAATCAAGTTAATGATCTGGATAAGAACTTAAAAGTAAATCAGTTCATTAATAATGGCCAATGGGACAGAGACCAACTACGGTTCATGGTAGAGGAAGACATTGTAAATAAAATATGTAATATCCCTCTCCCCTTGATTCCCTAAGATGATTCTTGTTGTTGGAGGCCAAATGGTAATGGTAAGTTCTTAATTAAGTCGGTAACTTGGATCACAAAATGTGATAATAATAATGTGAATGCTAGAGAGCTTTTAAAGAAAATGTGGAATCTTAAGCTGCCTCATAAAGTCAAAATTTTTAGTTGGCTACTTATCCTAGGAAGGCTCCATATAAAAGACAGATTAACAATAATATTCCAACTATCTGCCCTATGTATGTGTAACTTGGAGCATGAAAGCAAATCCCAATTATTCATAAATTATAGTTTTCTTAGACTTGTTGGAATGGTCAAGCTGTCTCCAATAACTTAAGGCTAAATCAGTCTCTCTTATTTAATGACTGGTTTAATGCTCTAGCTCACAGAACTGACGAAGGATTATGTGATCTCAGTAAAGCTTTACTAATTTGCTGGCAAATTTGGAAAGAGTGGAATCTAGCTGTGTTTCAAAACAAAAATCCAAGCTTTGTAAGGATTGTTAAGGTTGCTCTTAACTTTAAACGAGATTTCATCACTGGCAACGATAATAATCCTGATGATTATGATGGAATAAGGCATCAATCTTCATCTTCTATTCGGTAGTCCCCTCCAAAAGTTGGCGTTGTTAAACTTAATTTTGATGGCTCCGTTGTGAATCAAAGTGCGTCTGCTGGATTTGTGATTAGAAATGAGAAATGGGATCCCATTGTTGCTGGAGCAAGGTTTATTGGTCAGAATACTATCTCTATGGCAGAATGTCTAGCTCTTCGGGATGGCTTGTGGATGGCAAAGTTTAAAGGTTTATCTCGTATTATAGTTGAGGGAGATTCGAAGTTGGTGATTGACTTCATACGTGGCATTTATAACCCCCCTTCAAGACTGAAGCTCATTCTGGAGGATATTCGTTGGTTTGTGGGGTTTTTTTAAGACATTTGTTGGAAGCATGTCTTCAGGGAGGCCAACTTTCTAGCAAGTGCAATAACTAGTGTTGGTTACTCTGTTTTTGATTTTCATGTTTGGGATAGAACTCTTCCTAGGGCTGTTCATTATGCCTTCTTCTTTGATTGTACCCAAATTGATTGCCTTAAGTAGACCTAACATTCGTGTTGTACTTTCCGTGTTCGTGTCATTTTCATGTCATACCCGATATTTTAATGGGTTGTGTTGTGTAACACCCGTTAAAGTAAACGGATATTATGACCTGACACGAAATTGACCCGTTAATATTATCAAGTAATATAAGTTGACCTGTTATTTGTTAACGAAAATATATTTTAAATCAATAAATAATGAAAATATAAAAAATGAAATTCGGTGAGTAGAATAAAACATAAACGACAATCGATGGTTAAATTTTAAATCTAAGGTTTATGGATTATGGTGTCGGATTTCTGAGTTATCCCCTTCACGAAAGTTGTAGAGCTTGTCATTACGTATGATTGTGTGTGTGTGTGTGTGTGTGTGTGTGTATTTTTTTTTCTTTTTTTTTTTTTTTTACATTTTTCACACTCCTACAATAGTTATTATTAAATTTATGAAATTTCACTCATATAAAAATACTATTCATGAGATTTGGAGGGTTTTAAAAATCTAAATGACCGGCGGATATACCACATAAGGGGTTTGTCATGCTCTTAGCGCGAAAGGGCTAGCACTCAAGGTAAGAGTGGGCTAACCACACTTGAAAAAGCGTGTTCCTTCGGCTCAATGTTTGCTTTAGTAGGAGGAAGGGAAGATAGGCGATAGCAAGTCCGTGGTAGGCCGCTTGTTTAAGGAATGCCCAAATAGAGTCTACGGGGAGGGGGTTCGACCTAAATGAGAATGGATACGGCACGAGAGACGATACGGACGAGTTGGCAAAGGTTCAATTTCTGATTCCTTTACAATGGTTAACTCAAGGGATTCGATTCTCTTTTACACTAGATGAGACCGAGATACGGACAAGTTGCCAAGGGTTCAATTTTTTATTCCTTTACAACGGTTAACTCAAGGGATTCGATTCTCTTTTACATTAGTTAATCCATAATGAAAGCACAAGTGCTAAACAATCTGTCGCTAGCTTTACGAATGATGGTATAGGTTACATATTTTATACGATATGCCACTACCCCCTATCCAATCTAGTAATGATAATGCCGTTTTGTGAAATGTATTATTCCATAGTTAAATATCCCTTTGGCGTCTAGATTTCGGTGCCAGACCGACACAGGTGAACTTTCTTGGCAAGAACATATGCTAAACTTTTTGCTTTTACTATTTCACCCAAGAGAGCGCTCCAATCGAGTAATGTAGGACAACCTCTACCCAATGTAACCATCGTCTAAGCGTAGACGATGCAATCACGAGCGTTTGCATATTTTTTTCACATTTTTCATGCTTGTAAATTAATTATTATAATTTTTTTTACTGTGTATTTTATTTTTAAATTATTCGATATTTTTTTATTTTTAATGTGTTTTTATAATTTTTAATCTTACTCTTTGCCTATAATATACTATAAAAATACAATAATACATATTTAACATACAATATGGCTTGTAATTTATAGTAAGTTTCTTTAGTAGTTTAAAAAATTAAAATCATCAAAATAAGTTTTTTTTTTTTTTAATGTGTCGAAACTGGTTATTCACGTGTTACGTTCGTGTAAACTTGTTAATGATCCATTATTAACAGGTTCTTATTGTGCAACCTGATAATGACTTCGATTAATTATCATATTGACCCAAAATTCATTATTTTGTATTATTTACGTATTGTGTTTAACAGATCGGATGAAAAATTACCTGCCATAGCCCTGGAGGCTTTTCTCTTTAACGAAGTTCTTTTCTATGAAAAAAAAAGGGTCCGTGAGTTTCCAAAAAAAAAAAAATAGGGGGTCGGTGAGAGACTCTGACACTATCTATAGCAGCCCCTACCAACCCAACTAGCGTACAAATCCTTTCAAAGCACAACGTACAACCCTTCCAAGCACAAAGGCAAGCACACCTACCACCCTCGTCTCCATCTCCCCATCTCTTTTTCAAACTTCTGGTGGCAGAATTGGTTGGTGAATTGTTAGAGAGCAGAGAGAGAGAGAGTCCATCAATCCCTACCTACGACCATTCTCACCAAAACCCCCAACTTTCCCTTCCGCCAAGCTCCCACAATTGTAGAGACACCAATTTAGACAACTCTCAAACGTGATTTTTTGAGAGAGAGAGAGAGATGGCCCAAGTGAGCAAAATCTGCAGCAATGGAGCTCAAAGCATCAATCTTTTGCCCAATGTTTCCAAACCCCAAATGCCCAGATCATCAAATTTTCTCCCATTGAAGTCCCAGTTTCTGGGTTCCTCAAATTCTTTGAGTTTGAAGCTGAAAAATGGGTTTGTGGGCAGTTGGACCGTCGGTAAAGTCAGGGTCGATCCGCTTACAGTTGCTGCTTCAGTTGCCACGGCAGAGAAGCCGTCCACGGTTCCGGAGATTGTGCTGCAACCCATCCAAGAAATCTCGGGCACCATAAAGTTGCCGGGTTCCAAGTCGTTGTCGAATCGAATTCTGCTGATTGCTGCTCTCTCTGAGGTATGTAAAGATTGTTGCTTTGCAACTAATTGTTGCTTTGCAACTAATTTGGAGTTTTTGTTGTAGTAGTGTGATCAGTAGTAGTTGCTGAAAGTGAAAGGTTTGGGGGAAGAAATTGGAGAGATTTTTGTGGATTTGGGTTCGTGTGTTTGTTTTTCGATTTCGAGGACCCTGAGTGCTTTGGTATCTCAAATTTACTTGAGGAGATCGAATGATCAGGAATGTTTCGTTCACTAATTAGACATGGTTCGATCTCGGGAATGTTTCGTCCGCTAATTAGACATGGTTCTGTTTGGCTGATAAGAAATCTCAAAAGAAAATTCAGTTATTAGGGTGATGTTATCGAAGTTGCATTATTAGAGAGAATGAAATATATTGCTCCTTAGACTGATTGATGATACTTCTTATCACTTCATACATGTGTTTCAAGATTTCCTTATGTATTAAAGCATCCCGGTTACATGATTGTTTTTTTTTTTTTTTTTAATTTTTTTTTTTATGCTATTGTCAGGGAACAACTGTTGTTGACAACTTGTTAGATAGTGAAGATATTCATTATATGCTTGGTGCATTGAAAACCCTTGGGCTGAATGTTGAAGAGGACAAGGAAAACAGGCGAGCAGTCGTGGAGGGTTGTGGTGGTCGGTTTCCTTTGAGTAATGAATCCGTAGATGAAGTGCAACTATTCCTTGGAAATGCTGGAACAGCAATGCGGCCATTGACCGCTGCAGTTGTTGCTGCTGGTGGACATGCTAGGTTTGTCCTATTTCCATATTGACTAGAAGTGTGATGTTAAATGATTTTAGTAACCTTGAATATGGTAGTCCAGACTGATATTGTATTTTAAAAGGTTTTCCTATAATATTGATTCTGTTTCAGGTATGTACTTGATGGGGTGCCCCGAATGAGGGAGAGACCAATCGGAGACTTAGTTGATGGTCTTAAGCAGCTTGGTGTGGATGCTGATTGTTTTCTTGGAACAAACTGCCCTCCTGTCCGTGTGATTGGAAAGGGAGGCCTTCCAGGGGGGAAGGTGTGGTTTGCATTGTCTTGTACATTTATGGTTGTTCTGTAATGCCTGCAGTTTTGATGCACTTAATCAATTCAATCCACACTTTATCTGTTGTTTTCAGGTGAAGCTCTCTGGATCAATTAGTAGTCAGTACTTGACTGCTTTGCTTATGGCAGCTCCTTTGGCCCTTCAAGATGTTGAAATAGAGATTATTGATAAACTAATTTCCATTCCGTATGTGGAAATGACTTTGAAGTTGATGGAACGCTTTGGGGTCTCAGTGGAACACAGTGATAGTTGGGATCGGTTTTTGATCCGAGGAGGTCAAAAGTACAAGTATGTTTTATTCAATGTATTGGTGAACCACTATGTGATATATGATTGCATTGTGTAACAAAATGAAAAATATATCTATCAGGTCTCCTGGAAATGCTTTTGTTGAAGGCGATGCTTCAAGTGCTAGTTACTTTCTAGCTGGTGCTGCTGTCACTGGTGGGACTGTCACTGTTGAAGGCTGTGGGACAAGCAGTTTACAGGTAATTTCTGGGACCAATATCTTTTCTTATTCTGTTCACTTCCCAGTGTATGAATGATAGATTTCCAGATTGATGGGCCAACCTATTTCCCGATCGTAATTACACATTTACAACCATCGCTTGGATGGTTTTTGAAAAAGAGTTATCACTTCGAGAAAATATGACATCTTACAACCTTTTTGGTTTCTCTTAATCAAGGGAGATGTAAAGTTCGCTGAAGTTCTTGAAAAGATGGGTGCTAAAGTTACGTGGACAGAGAATTCTGTCACAGTTACAGGACCTCAACGACTTTCTTCTGGAGGAAAACACTTGAAAGCTGTTGACGTCAACATGAACAAAATGCCAGATGTTGCCATGACTCTTGCTGTAGTTGCTCTTTTTGCTGATGGACCAACTGCCATAAGAGATGGTATGGTCTATGTCTTTTTCCTGTGAATGGCTTGTGCTCACTATTTTCGTTGTTAGTAGACAATAAAGGAAAGGGGTGGGTGGAGTCCGCATAGGTGTTTAGAACTGGTAAATAGACAAGTAACAAATCAATCTCGTGGTTAATGGATCCATGCTAAAAATCTTTTTCTTAACAGTTAGAAGTGAGGATGAATATTTTCCGGGTTGAGGCCTTTGCTGATACATATATCATTCAAGATTAATCTTTTTGCGTATCTGAGCAGAATGCTTATGGTTTTAAAAGTAGTTCATATTATTAAAAAAATAACATGTGAAAACAATTACAAAGGCCTGCTTTGACTTCTTGAGTTCTTATCATCAGTGGCAAGTTGGAGAGTGAAGGAGACAGAAAGGATGATCGCCATATGCACTGAACTAAGAAAGGTTCGTTTTAGTTGGCTGCCCTCACACTTGATATTCCCACACCTTCATATGCTTATTACTTCTCTAACATTTTTCGGACCTAAATTTCAGCTGGGAGCAACTGTTGAAGAGGGACCAGATTACTGCATAATCACACCGCCAGAAAAATTAAACGTGACAGCAATAGACACATATGATGACCACCGAATGGCCATGGCTTTCTCTCTTGCTGCCTGTGGAGACGTTCCAGTTACTATCAAGGATCCCGGTTGTACCAGAAAAACATTCCCCGATTACTTTGAAGTCCTCAGGAAGTTTACCAAGCATTGAACAGCGGTTATAAGATATATTTATCTGTAGATAGGGAGAGAGAGGGATCGTCCTTGTGCCTCTACAGCCAAAGCAGTGCAGATGGAAGCCACACTTGTTTCGGTTTCTCTTTATTCCCCTGTAATTTTGGATGATTTGTATTTGCAAGTTGAGCTCGTTATTGTTTCTAATATTTGTGATGCGATTCTACTCAATAATAGTGATTCATGATTTGGTTCGTGGATCTTCTTTTGTACCTCTCTTTGGGACAAACTGGATGTCAAGAAATGCATACATTGCTAGGTTTGTTAAGTATTTGGTTCAAAGAATTTGCATCACTTGTAAATTTGCGATGCAGTTCTGCTGTTTCCGTTCAAGAGTCTTTCTTTACATAATGCAGTGTCTGCATTTCTTAATCTGAACATTTCGAAATTGAACAACATTCATGGCTGTTCGGTCATCGCTTCCACCCTTCTTATTTTGTTGCGAGATTGTGAAACTATATTGCTGTATCAGATGTACATTTCATTACCTTTTCTGTCACAGAGAGAGAGAGAGAGATGGCCAAATCCTTGTTACTCCCATTGAAGTCAGTTTCTGGGTTGCTCAGGTTCTTTGAGTTTGAAGCTGAAAAACAGGTTGGCGGATAGTTGGATGGTTCGTTCGGTTAGAGCTTCAGCTTGCACAGCAGAGAAGCCGTCAACAGTGACAGATAGTGTTGCAGCCCACCAGAGAAATCTCGGGCACCATAAAGATTGTGGCGGTTTAATTAGCTGATTTTAGTTAATTTAGGGTTGCAAGTTTAAATTCATTTTTTGTTTGTATAATTATTCCATTAGCACCTTTCTTCGAATCCGTATGAGGCAAAATGCCTTCTAATTAGAAGACACAGATACGTAACATTGAGTGGTATGAAAAATTAATGTTTTAAGATTGAAAATTTAATATTTGTGGAAGTCAAATCTAATAGCTAAAACACTCGACACTGAGTGTTACGTAGCATTAAAAGACTCGACATTTCTTTCACTAAGGATGTAGTTGTCAACCATTTCTTTCTTGATGACAACTTAAAAGGAGGCTGAACTAGAAGGGATACAAGGTAAACCGGTATCTTGAGTGTTTTGGCATCTGAAATTACTTAGGGATCAAGTAATTGGACAGAAGACGATATTATCCTGGTAGACATAACTGTTGTTGTATAGTTCAGGGAACAACTTGTTGACAACTTGCTAGATAGTGATGATATTCATTATATGATTGGTGCACTGAAAATCATTGGGATAAATGTGGAAGAAGATAAGGCACACAAACGAGCGTTCGTGGAGGGTTGTGGTGGTCGGTTTCCCTCAGGGAATGAATCAAGAGATTGAGTTCAAGTGTTCAACTTTTTCTTGGAACTGCTGGAACAGCAATCGGTCATTGACTGCTGTACTTGGAAACACAAACTGGAAAAGAAAAAAAACAGTCATCACCCACCTTCGATGCTCGAAAAGAAGGCAGCATATATCCAAACACCACCAATTTGGATCTTCTTGTACCCTGCAAATCGTGCTCAAGCACCAACACTTCAAGCATGCGTTTTCTCTAATCTCAATCTGCTTGCATTTTTTTTTTCATTACCGTTGTTTTTATATCCGGTTTTATAATTCACTACAGACTTTGGATGTTAAACATATTTCAGGCATGTACTTGATAGGGTGCCCCAAATGAGGGAGAGGCCAATTGGATATATGGTCGCTGGTCTTAAGCAGCTTGGTGCGGACGTTGATTGTTTTCTTGGAACAAACTGCCCTCCTGTCCGTGTGATTGGAAAGGGAGGCATTCCAGGGGGAAAGGTGTGGTTTGCTCGTCTTGTATATTAATGGTTGTTGTTTAACTGGTAAGTTTTTGATCGAATGCGATGTAAAACCATAAAAATAAAAATAAAAATTTGCTGCTTGCATGCCAAAATCCTGATTTTCCTATCCGAATCCACTCCTATTTTGGCCTGCAGCCGCGATGAGATTCATCAGTTTAATTCAAACTTTATTATATATTGTTTTCAGGTGAAGCTCTCTGGGTCAGTTAGTAGCGTATACTTCACTTCTTTGCTTATGGCGTCTCCTTTGGCTCTTGGAGACATCGAAATTGACATTGTCGAGAGACTCGTTTCTAGTCCTTTTGTGGAGATGACTTTGAAAGTGATGGAAAACTTTGGTGTCACAGTGCAACATAGTGATATTTTAGATTGATTTTTCGTCCAAGGAGGTCTAAAGTGCAAAGTATTTTTTATTTAGCCGAACGGCCGTGAGAAATATTGTTTAATTGTGCGTAACAAAATGAAAAGAATACATCGGGTCTCCTGGAAATGCTTTTGTCGAAGGTGATGCTTCGAGTGCAAGTTACTTCCCAGCTGGTGCTGCTATCACCAGGGGAACTGTCACAGTTGAGGGCTGTGGTGTTTTGCACACACCAATATATTTTTGTTTAATTCAGCGCATGCATAAAACAAATTTCAGATTGAACATATGTAGTAGTTTTCGGACAATTTATTTCCAAATTCGTAGTTACAAGTATCTATTAGACGATTTGTGAAAATAGTTGTGAATTATGCATACAAAATTCAAGTAATCTTTACAATTTTTTTCGGTCATTTTTACTAATCAAGGGAGATGCATAGTTTGCAGAAGTTCTTGAAAAATGGGTGCTAAAGTTACCTCGGCGACAATCATCTAGAAGAAAACACTTGAAAGCTATTGATGTCAACATGAACAAAATACCAGATGTTGCCATAACTCTCTCTGCAGTTTCTCTTTTCGCCGAAGGACCAACTACCATAAGAGATGGTATGGTCTAGTCCAAGTATTTTTTTTCACAAAGACATGAACCGTGAACGTAATGCACCTAGGTTTAAGCCCTTATTGATGTTTTATGACTAAACTGTTAATATTTTGATTACCAGAACAAAGCATCGCAATTTTTCAAAATTCTGCATGTTTCGGAATTCCCATGTGAAAAATGTCCCTAGAAGGTCTGCCTTGATTTGTTGAGTTTGTATTCTTCAGTGGCAAGCTGCAGAGTGAAGGAAACAGAAAGGATGACTGCCATTTGCACACAACTTAGAAAGGCTAGGGTCTTATCTAATGACTTTCGTTGTACTTGATATTCCTAAACCTTTTCTCTAAAATTTTTGGACGTAAAAATTTCAGCTGGAGCAGCGGTTGAAGAAGAATCAGATTACTGCATGATCATACCGCCGGAAAAACTAAATGCGACATGAATGAACATGTACAACGACCACAGACTGGCCATTCTCTCTTGCTGCCTGTGGAGATGTTCCGGTTACCTTCAAGGATCCCGGGTACCAGTAAAACATTCCCTGGTTGCTTTCAAGTCCTTGGGAAGTTTACCAAGCATTGGACAATGCAATGGAGATGTAATTTTGGATGCTTACATTTTTCAAGTAGAGCACATTAATTAGTTTTTCTAAGATTGTGATCTTATTCTACTCGATATTATTGGATTAGCAAGTGGTTCTTGGATCTGCTGACCCTTTTTTATTTTTTATTTTTTATACAAGTTGACATTAGGGGAAAGCAGAGTTTTTTGTTCAATTCTTGAGTGTATGATGAATGATCATAACTAGTTGAGTTACAAGTTTTTTACAATCTTCAAACTACTCTTTCTTTCTTGTATTTGACTTCCGAACGTATGGATGAATATTCTTGACAAGTTGAGCTAGTAGCTCTTTACAATTTGCAAACCACCATTTCTTTCTTTTTATAAAAAGGTAACTGGAAAAGTGAATCCTGTGTTTGATTATCGAGCACATAATTGAATGCTCTTAATCAATTTAGTTATAAGCTTCTCACGATCTACGAACTACCATTTGTTTTAATACAGGTGCCGAACAAAATCTCGTATTGACTCTCGAGCGTATAAATAAATATTTTTAACCAGTTAAGATACACGTTGGTTATGGATTTGTAAACCCTTTCTTTGGTCTACCTTTACATGTGATAAATGACGGATCAAGATCATCTCCTGAGCAAAGGATGAGGATCCTCCTAACCAAGTTCATCGGACTGTTGAAATTTTATCTAACGGCTACAATTATTATAATTTTTAGAAGAACCTTCTGTTTGTAGTCGTTAAGTAAAATTTCAACGGTTTGATGGGCTTGATCAAGAGTATCTTCATCTTTTGCTTAGGAGGGAATCCTGGTCCATAAATGGCATCAGATTTGTCTTGGGGCAAACTCTAAACCGACAGTCCACCCAAAAGCACATTTTGTTAGGCCGTGCATGGTACAAAGGTTTGTAGGGGCACCGTCCAGGATCCACATATCCACTAAATTACGAGGGTGTATCATTAAACTACAAGTTGGGGCGGGGTAGATTTAATCACGTGTCCGTGTCCGTGTCCGTGTCCGTGTCTGTCCAGCTAGCTGCTGAGATTAAATTGCAGGGCATGGAGCACGATGCCAGCTTATTAAACAAAAAGGACTAACAAGACGTGTTCCTCTGTCTTCTTTTGCATCAGTTTCACATGGAGACGGTGGTGATTGTCAGATGCGGCAAATCATTCTACTGAATTGTTAACGATTATTTGTTAAGATTCGTTTGATTTGATATTATCATAATATAAATGTAAAGTTGGTAATGAAGATGATGGTATAAAATGATATCAAACTAAATAAGTCTTAATAAGTACTCATTAACAATTTAATAAGTTAATTTACCATGATGACCGAGTAACTATTTCACGTTTTTCAATAAAGAAGAGATTCTTTCCGGATCACTTCTATCGAGGTTATCGAATTAAGTGATCCAGACCTTTAAAATTTCATTCAACGGTTCACCTGTTTTGATCTCTTAAAAACTATAATAATTTTTTACCATTTGATGAAATTTTAAAGATCCAGATCAGATGAATCAATGAACTTGATGGAAGAGATCATGAAAGAATCACTTCTCTTTTCAATAATGCACACTGAATCCTGAGGATCAAAAGTACTTCAATTTGCAGTGCTCTTGGCATATTTTGGTTGTTGTGCTACGATTTATGATCGACTCATTCGCATCTTGTTTTACACATTCTTCTTGGTTATACGATGCGACGTGAGATTGATGACAATAGTACTTCGGGTTTACGGATTATTTTACGATTTTAGTGGTTTTGAGTTGTTTGGACTTGACTAATTTTACGATTTAAGTGTTGATATTATATCAAACTTGATCACATGTGCAATTTTATAGGTGTGGAGGGTTTTACAAA